CGGGCTGGCGGTGCTGGGCTATGCGGCGGCTCTCAGCGCACAGCCCACCTACCAGGGGGTGGTGCGGGCGGTGTGCGGGGCGGCCGTGGGGAAGCTCTGCGAGGTCTGCTTCCTCCTCAACCTCTTCATGATCTCCGTGGCCCTTCTGAGAGTGGTGGGCGACCAGCTGGAGAAACGTGAGTTGTTTTCCCCCACCGCGTTTGGGGCTCGCTTGGGGCCGGCAGCTCTCGGCAGCGAGGGAAGCTGGTCCCAGGGTGGGCTGGGCTCAGCCCAGGCTTTTCCTGCAAATTCTGGGAACGTGGCACTCCCTGGGCCTGGGGCTCCTGCCATAGTGTGATGCTCCCGACCCCCCTGGGCCACCTTTCAGGGTGCAGCTGAACCCCCTCTGCCCCCACAGTGTGCGACTCGCTGTACCCCAACGTGACCCTGAGCGGGGTCCCCCAGCTGCCCCCCTGGTACGTGGACCAGCGCTTCACCCTCTCTGCTCTCTGTGTCCTCGTCATCTTCCCGCTCTCTGTGCCCAGGGAGATCGGCTTCCAGAAGTACTCCAGGTACCACCTGGGGGATCCCTGGGGTTGCTCCCCCCTGGGTACCCTATATGCCAGGTTTTCTCCCGGGAACCTGTGGGGCCATGGGACCCCCTCTCCCTTTGTCCCAGCTGCGTGCTGACACTCTCCCATGTCCTGGCAGCATCCTGGGCACGCTGGCCGCCTGCTACCTCACTCTGGTCATCATCCTGAAATACTACCTGGAGACAGAGAGCCTGAGCTTGAGCAACCCACCCCAGCGCTCCAGGTAAGGGGGTCAGCCCCATGTCTCTCCTGAGACCTGACCTGCCCTGACCTCCATGACATCAGCAGTGGCAGGGGCAGGGCTGCAGGTGGGGCAGGGCTGCAGGTAGGGCAGGGCTGCAGGTAGGGCAGGGGTGGTCCTGGGCCCCGTGTGTGTGGGGCAGGGGGGGAGCTGGGGACAGCACACAGTAGTGGTGTGTGAATGGCAGCTCCCAGCCCCATTTTTTACTCCAGCAATTCCCCTTTCTCCCAAAATCACCGTGCAGGAGGCTCCCTTGGTGGCATCCAGGCTGCACAATTTATGCCACCTCTGCTTTTGTGAGCCTCACACCCTCCACTCTGCTTCTTCCCCACATGCCACAGGTCCTCCTCCTGGGCCTCCATCTTCAGTGTCGTTCCCACCATCTGCTTTGGTTTCCAGGTAGGTCTCAGCTGCCAGGGCAGTGCTGGCAGCCTCCCACGCCATCCCAGACCATCGGGCTGCCATCCCTTGAAGGGGAGCTTGCAGGGAAGGGGACTTGTGGCCGTCACCAGAGGTGGCTGCAGGGCAGGATGCAAGTCCCTGGGGATGGGACAGAGCAGGGCAGGGCACCCATAGGTGACAGGAAAGATGCTGGAAGGGGGGGTGTCCCTACATGGGGCCCCAGCACCACTCCCCCTTGCCTTGCAGTGCCACGAGGCATGTGTGGCCATCTACAGCAGCATGAGCAACCAGAGCTTCTCCCACTGGGTCACCGTGTCTGTGCTCTCCATGCTCATCTGCCTGCTCATCTACTCCCTCACCGGTAACCCAGCACCAAACCCCTCAGACTCTCCTTGTCCCGGGGTTCCCCTCTGCCCATGGCTCCCCCATCCTCCTCAGGGCTCCTCTGTCCTGTCCTGCTCACCCTCCCTGTCAGCAGGGCTCTATGGCTACCTGACCTTCGGCGAGGCCGTGGCGTCCGACGTGCTCATGTCCTACCCGGGGAACGACCCGCTCGTCATCGTCGCCCGCCTGCTCTTCGGCGTCTCCATCGTCACCATCTACCCCATCGTGGTGCTGCTGGGCAGGTGAGGGGGTGGGGACGGGCTGGGTGCCCCCCCAGCCGGTGCAGCTGCTCTGGGTGCCACGAGCCCCTCGATCCCCTCTTGCAGGTCTGTGGTGAGGGACCTGTGGGCACCCCCCAAGCGCGGGGCGGCGGCGGCGCCCGAGGCGCAGGAGCGGCGGGGCCGGGTGGCACTGACTGTCACCTGGATGGGTGCCACCCTCACCATCGCCCTCTCCGTCCCTGACATCGGAAAGGTCATCGAACTCATCGGGGGCATCAGCGCCTTCTTCATCTTCATCTTCCCAGGCAAGGAGGCAGGAGGAGGGGGGGAAGGGCTCTGCCGGTGCTGGGAGTGTCGCTGGGGTGGTGGGGGGGCCCATCCTGGCCCCGTTTGGGGGTGCAGGGCTGGGAATGCCCCAGTGGGGCTGGGTCAGGGTACTGTGGCAGAGGGGCTGAGCTCCTGCCCTGACAGCAGGGCTGTGCCTGGTGTGCATGACCGGGACCCGCAGCCTGGGACCACGCAAAAAGTGAGTTATCTGTGTTTGTGGCGGCGCGGGGAGAGCCAAGGGGCAGGGGCAAGGGCAGGGCATGGCAGGCCAGGAACCACGGCCCAGGCAGATCCCTGGTGGTCACCCTGGCCAGGGTGGAACCCTGCAAGAGGGGATTTGGGTGTGGAGGGAAGTGTTCTACTGGGGCTGTGCCAGGGTATCAGGATGTGCCCAGGCAAGGGGGTTGTTCCCAGCTATCGAGGTTGTGTCTGGGTATCTAGAGGGTGCCCGAGTACCAGGGCTGTGCCCAGGCATCAGGGAGATGTCCTGGTACCAGAATAACTGTAGGGGCAAAAGAGCTGTGGTGTTGGTGGCACTGGGACACTGGTGAGGGCTGAGGTGGGGTCAGGCTGGGGCTCAGGTTGGGGGGCAGAGGTGCCCCAAGGCAGGCAGCCGTGGGGTGTTCAGTGTCTGTTGTGCCAGGGCAGTGTCCCCATCACCGCTCTTGTCCTGAGAGGCTGGGGCACAGCAGGAGCCCATGGCAGGGGGACTGGACATGGTGCTGGCAAGTTTTGGGGTGTGTGTTAAGTGTATCTGCAGTGCCCCCGGGAGAGCAGCAGAGTCTGAGTGAGGATGGAGGTCATGTGTGTGGAGGGGTCCTGTCCCCCATGGTGAGTGGAGGGAGCACCCAAGGACCTTGGAGTCTTGGTCAGGAGGGTGTCCTGGGGCTCCATGGCTGTCTGGGCAGGAGTGAGGGTACCACCAAGGGTGCCCCCAAAGCTGCCAAAGTGCTGGAAGGGCCGAGTCAGGAGGTGAGCAGGGGCACCCAGGTAGGTGACAAGGGCTTGGAGAAGTCCCCTGGGGACACCTGCCACAGCACGAGCCTGTCACAAGGAGAGGGGACAACAGAAGCTGGGGTGATGAAGACTGCGAGGGGACCGTCCCCGCTGGCCTGGGGCAGTTTGGGAAGGAGCACAGTGCTGATGACCCCACGGAGCAGCAGCAGGGTTGGGGTGAGTGCTGCATCCCAGGGGAGGTGCAGACTGATGGGTGGCAGAACTGGGGATGGAGATGGGGAGGGGAAGGGTAAGAAGCATGAGGCAATAGGATGGGTTTGGGGCATGGCTGGGCCGAGCACAGGGTGGGTGGATGTGGATCTGTGCTCCCTCAGTGGGGCCGCTGGGCACAGGCAGAGCTGGGAATGATCTCGTGGTGGCATCTGCAAGGCTTTTGACTGAGATTTGTGTGTTGTTGCAGTGGTCCCTGGGGTTGGGCCAGAGGGGCTGCTGAGCTCCTCAGCATCCCCTGGGAACGGTGCAGAGGAGCCTGGCAGAGGAGGCTGAGACCCTGCAGAGAGCACTGTGCCCAGGGGACTGGGGCACAGGGCTGGCCCGTTCCTGGGGTCAGCTCTGTCCCAGGGGCCCCGTGCTTGTGTCACCACAGGGCCGCTCTCATCGCCTGGGGTGTCCTCTGCGTGCTCGGCGGTGCCTTCGTCTGCGGGCAGAGCGCTGCCCTGGCCGTGCTGGGGCTGCTGCACTGAGGGCTCACAGCCCACACAGAGAGTGACCCCTCCTCCACGGCCCCCTGCCCACCCACCAGCCCACGGCGCCAGACAGAGCCCCAGACAGAGCCCTGGACACAGCCCTGGACAGAGTCCTGACACAGCCCTGGACAGAGTCCTGGACACAGCCCTGGACAGACCCCTGACACAGCCCTGACACAGCCCT